GGCACTCATAAAAGAGACCCTTAGTCAAAGTTCCCTCAAAGAGCCAGATTCTTGGAATGGCCCGGGTACCCGCTAGAGGTGTGTTCCCCTTTTTTTGCCTCTCGCATTTTTGGGGTTTAGGGTTTAGAGCTTTAGAGGTTTTGGTTTCAAAGTTTCCTTTTGTTGGTGGTACCAAGAGTCTCAGGGCCTCTAGGATTAATTGTTCCAAAGGACCCTAACCCGGGAACCTAGCATGGGTCGAGCCGTCAGTCCAAAGTGTGCGCAGCCTTTTCCTGGCACTTTTGGGAGTTGGCGCTCTTTCAGTTGTAGGGTTTAGGGTTTAGAGTCTAGGGGTTGTCCCAGAGGCCCTGACTTACATAGACCTATGAAGCTGGAAGCATCTCATCATGAGCTGACAAAAGTTTGTAAGCTCTACAGCCAAATCTTCGGGTTTAACTAGGGCTTATAGGGTTTAGGCTATAAGTTTGAGGCTTTACTAGGTGTATGTAGGTTTCAATGCCTCGCCACATTCGCCAAACAACCCTAAACCCCGCCGAAACATGAAGCCCTAAACCCTAACATCCCCCCTACAATTACGTAGCTGTCATTACTTAACTGTAGGTTAAAGTTAAGGTATTTCCGAACTTCAGGCCCTTCTGAAGCCCTAACCCGAAACCCCCCAAGCCTAAACCCGACGCCCCGAAGGTGGTGCCTGGAGTTTGGTGTTCTCGGCCCTGACAGCGTCCAGCTCCTTCTAACTTTCTGCAAGTCGGAAAAAAGTTGTACTTAGGCCTAGGGTTTAGGGTTTGGGGTTTTAGGATTTGGGTTTAAATAGGGTATACGTCAGCACTCTGCGGACGATTCGAGCGAGAGGGACGCCTGGATCATAGCCAGAACAAGAGATATACAAATTGCTGTAATTGGACCGGCTTTCGAGCGCGGCGGAGGACCCTACACCATAATTGCTCCACACCTCTTTCCACACCTCTTTCGGCGAGATAAAGGCTATGTGGAAGTCGGGACAGTCGGGGCCGGTTTCGTTTCGCATGGCGATCGAGTATTTCCGGGCGTCTAGCAAAGCGTGCACTAGCGAATTCCTGGAGGCCTAACGCGGGGTGCCAAGGCGGTGATCTATGGACACGCTCAAAGTTTAGGGTTTTCCTTGGCCTCCACTTGCAGCCTCCTTTGTCACGTACCGGTTTTCTTCTTGCATCTATGCTACATAAATGAATACCGGGATGCCCCCATTTATGCACGACTCTTGTCCCATGGCCGATCCCTTCAACAAGACCGTTAAGAGCACCCCCCGTTAAAGACCGTTTCTAAAATCTACACTCTCCTAGAGGTGTAAAAGCCCCAAAAGCCCTAGAAGCCCAAATGCCATGAAAAAAAGCCCTGAGCAGCGAATTCCCAAAGGCCGAAATGAAGGAAGCGCGACACAGTGACCCCCAAAACGGCCATTACATGGATTTCAGCTCCTTCGCTTCTTGCTTTCCCCTAGAAAGGGCTTCTTCAAGTCCTTATAAGCCCTAAACCCTAAACCCTAAGCCCTAAACCCTAAACCCTAAGCCCTAAGCCCTAAGCCCTAAACCCTAAACCCTAAACCCTAAACCCGAAGGGGCCGTTAGATCCCCAGATCACTCCTGCTGCAAGCGCTGCAGCTCCTGCGGCGACAGGGCAGCTACTGGTCTTCTGTCGGCTTTAAGGCTTGTAGGGCTATTTGGGGTTGAGGGTTTCAGGTTTGGAGTTTAGGGTTTAGGGTTTAAGGCTCAGAGTTTAGGGTTTAGGCCGTTTAGAGTCTGGGGTTTAAGGCCTAAAGTTTTTCGGCTGTATTTCGGAGGCGGCTTGGGCTTGAGACTTTGTAGGCTTTATAGGGATCATAGAAGGCTTGTCGTTTAAGGATGTAGAGCTGGGCTTGAGGATTGGCCAGCATGGGGCTTCGAGGCTTAGGGCTCAAGGTCCTTCAGTCCTACAGAGAGGTTAGGCTTCCGGGTTTCGGGTTTACGAGCCCAAAGCATAGCAAAGGAGCACTACAGAGTCTCGCGTAATCCGTGAAGCTTGAAACCCTCAACCCCCCCCCCCGGCCCTGCAGGCCCTACAGGCCCTTTAGGGCCAGCCTTGCAAACTGACCACCCCAAACGCTGAAGCCACACACACACACACACACCACACCCCTGAAAACCTGAGCCCGAAAAGCCCTGACGACCCTGCGCCCTGAGGCAGCAACCCGGCCTGACCCTGGTCCATGCCGCTGCGCATTCGGGAGATGTCCTCCGATGCTTTGGGGTGGTTGGGGAGGTTCGGGGAAATCCCACAAACCCTCCACATTGGCAGGTTCCAGCCCTAAAAAAAAAATTCACAGAGAAAAGAAAAAATCTAAGTCTTACACCTGCGAGGGTTTCGAGTTTAGAGGGTTAGGCGAAGTCGAAGGGATTGCATGGGTTTAAACCCCGACAACTTGGGAGGTAATGGCCCAGCGGAGCACCAAACAAACGAAGCTGGGTGGCGCCCATTCGCTTGGGGAGGTTCCGGGTGTAGGGTATAGGGCTTTTGTTTGACTCGGATCCTTTTCGAGCCTGGGCAACCCCCAACACATATGCCTAATTGCTTCGCATGTTTGGGGGGCCCTAAACCCTGACACCCTAAATCCCAGCTGCGTTGCAAGCGCTAAACCTTCCCCCAGCACGTGTGGTTTGCCCACACCCATTGGTTGCTCATGTGGTCTGCCCAGGTTTTAGGGCTCAGGGTTTTTATGGCCCCATTAGGGTTTAGGGATTTTTGTGTTTTTTGGGTTTTCAGGTTTTAGGGTTTTTAGGGTGTTCAGGGATTTGGGGTTTTTTAGGGCTTTTGGGTTTTTAGGGTTTTGGGGGTTTTTGGGGTTTAGGTTTTTGGGTTTTTAGGGTTTAGGGTTTAGGGTTTGGCTTTTGTGATAACAGCGCGCGTGCACACATCGCACGCTCGCGTCGCCAACGCCGGAGTTCGTGTCATGAAGTTGCGTGTCCTGTCAAGCCCTCCGGAGTCCTGAAACCTCGGCAGGGGAGACGTTTTCGCACGTCATAATGGGCCTGCAAACCACAAGTACTGCCCGTAAACCTTGAACATCAAATTTCTCTACCAATCGCTACAGTGGGGTGGGGGTGGCGCCAATCGCTCACACCTGCAGCGCTGCCTGCTCTCGCTGCCCTCGTGGGTGACCTGCTTCGCAGGTAGGCATCGAAGGGCTCGTAAAAGCAATATAGCTGATTGGGCGTGATGATCGAGAACTCCTCTTGCGCTTCAAGACTCAGAAGGCGCCGGGATTCCTGAAAACGGCGCCCCTGATCGCCAACTCGTACTGGCATAACAGGCAAGAATACAGAATGCGTTAAGGGTAGAATACATTCAAGTACGCAGCGAGGCAGCAGTGTGACACAGTACCCATGACGGGTTTCAGGGCCCGCGGCCAAGAGGCCCTGACCTGTTCTGGAATACAGCTGTGCATTACAACTGGGCTGCATCGGGCACTCATCTTGCATGTCACTCACTGCTTGCTTAGCGCCGACACAAACATGATTAAGTTTACCCACCTCCCGACCAGATCACCGTAGTCTGTGCCCCAGGTCAGTGGAAGGCTCAGATAGAAAGTCTGGAGGTCTGGGTGCGCCTCAGCCTCAAGTGAAACATGTGAACAACTGTGTTGGAACAGCTATCAATGCGACCTGAGCAACCTGGTGACCATCTTGCACGCAACTCTGGGCTGCCCGAATTGCGGAGCCTCATAGCAAGGGCCTCAAAACAGCGCACGGAAAATGGTAACTGGTGACGAATGATACAAGTACATTGCAAACCCTCTGACCCTCAAACAAATCCACTCCATATAACTCTTGCGGCTGCCACTGCAAAATCAAGCAACTCGCCCATTTTGCGTTGAGGCATTCCAAGACACCGCCCGGCTGCAGGTCCTCGCTGGTCAGATGGTGCAGGCGTGGGCCAGAAAGCGAAGAGGAAGTCCAAGTCTATAGGCCTGGTGAGGCATGAAAGTCCAGGATGGCTCTTCTCCCGGCGGGTTCCTGGATCTTGGAGACTCATCCTCAGTAGGGCCTGCCAGAAGCCTCCTGACAGCATCTGGCAAGGGGTGAATGTTGATCCTGCTTCTGTTGGCCATGTTCATTCATGCTATATCTAGACCCAGCATTTGAAGTAACTTACTTGGACATTGCAAAGTTGAAAGGCCAGAAGCAATGAACTCTAAGGAAAAGAGGAAGGGGCAGGCAGCGGGCAAGCGTGCAACGTTTCAGCAGCGAACTCAAAGTGACAGGCGAAGGGGCAACGGGCAAGCGTGCAATGTTCCAGCCAGAAGCAGTGAACTCAAAGTGAAAGACGCTCGGGCAACGGGCACGCGTGCACTGTTCCAGCCAGAAGCAGCGAACTCAAAGTGAAGGACGCAAGGGGCAACGGGAAAGCGTGCAATGTTTCAGCCAGAAGCAGCGAACGCAAAGAGAAAGACGATCGGGCGGGCAAGCATGCAATGTTTCAGCCAGAAGCAGTGAACTCAATGTGAAAGACGAAGGGTCAACGGCAAGCGCAGCGTGCAATGTTCCAGCCAGAAGCAGTCAACTCAAAGTGAGAGACGAAGGGGCAATGGGCAAGCGCGCAACGCGTTAGCCAGAGGCAGTGAACTCTAAGTAAAAGAGGAAGGGGCAGCGGGCAAGCATGCAATGTCCCAACCAGAAGCAATGAACTCAAAGTGAAAGACGAAGGGGCAACGGGCAAGCGTGCCATGTTCCGGCCAGGAGCAGTGAACTCAAAGTGAAAGACGATCGGGAAACGGGCAGGCGTGCAATGTTGAAGCCAGAGGCAATGAAAGGGCAGCACGCGGCTGAATGCCCCAGCCAAAAATAGTTCGTCTTGGATATAACCAAGAAGTTTAAAGGTTACCCAGCCAGTCCTCAGAATGCTTCAGCCAGATGCGGTGAACTCTAATGAGAGCAGAAACCGATCGTGTGAATTGGCGACGACCGGCCTCGAGGAGACATTGCGACTCATAGCACACCGCTTGGATACATGCATTTGTTTCGCGAAATACCAAGTATTACATCCAGCCAGAAATTTCTGGGAACAGGCGGTCGACATGAAGTTGTCAGACGGGTAATGGTGGGCGCTAGTGGGAGTGGTGAGTAGTGGTGGGTAAAGGCGGAAATGATGGGTAATGGCAGGTAATGGCGGGTAATGGCCTGTGATGGTGGGCGATGGCGGGAATGGTATGGTGGGTGGCAACGGTAGCGTGTGCACGGGTGGAGAACTGTGGGAATGGTGGGTTATGGCGGGAATGGCGGGCAGTTGTGGCAATGGTGGGAACTGGGTGGGAGTGAGGTGTGGGTTGTTAACCCCCCCCTCAACCCTAAACCCAAGAGACCCTAAAGGCCCAGTGTCCTCTTTCAGAGCTGAAACCTCCTGGTCCCGCTCCTGCTCGGTCAGAGCCTGCGCGTCCGCACAACACAGTACAAGGAGGGCCATATTATGGAGTATATTGAGGGGAGCCTTTAGAGGTCTTAGGGTATACGAGCCTGAATCCCTTGAAGAGTAGGTTGCCCACGCGAATTTAGGGATTAGGGCCCTAAACCCTAAACCCGAAACTCTAAACGGTAATTAGGGGTGGCCTGGCTGCGGGTTGGCGTCAAGGGGGCGTTGTATTTTGCAGTTTGGACCGCAGACCAGGCGCGATCTTGACACCCCCCCCCCCCCCCAACAAAAACCGAACGATGCAGAAGGAGAGTCTGAACCTGTTTTCTCAATCGCCACACACCTTCACTTCCAAAACGCAACAGCCTGAGAACAAACCCCCCCGGATCCCGCAGGTTCTGATGTTTATCAAGCTGCCGGGCCTCCCCACAACACACAAGGGCACAACTTGAGCCTAAGACCAAGTCCCGAAAGCATTCGGGTTCATCCAAAGAGTACGTCAACTGGAGACCAAGATGAGGAGCCACCCCCTTAAACGAAAACACGTGAAGCAAACAAACACGCCCTTGCGCGGTGTCGTGGTAGTGATGGCCCTAAGAAGCCCCTCGATGAAGCCCTCAGAGGCAAAAGAGGCCGCCTTCGCCTCGTAGGCGGCCGAGAGAAGTTCTTCCTTTTCTGCCACCTGTTGCCTCAGAGGGCTTGAAAGGGGGGCTTAAGGGGTTTTGAGTTCGGAGAGTTACTTGGCAATAGGGTTCGGAAGGGTTCAACAGGGTAGCAAGCAGGTATGAAGCTTGTCTGGGTTCTTGCCCAAGCCCCAAGCCCTTTAACCCGACAGCACACCCCAAAACCCCCAATCCCCCAAGCCCTAAACCCCTCAACCCCAAACCCCTCAACCTCAAACTCCTCAACCCCAAACCCCTCAACCCCAAACCCCCAAAGCCCCAAAGCCCCAACCCCCAAGCCCCTAAATTGAGGCGTTTTGGGGGTTTAAAACCCCCAAAACGCCTCAACCCGAAACTCCCCCCCAAAACCCTTCTGGGGCATCCCGCTGCAGCTCCTCAGCCTCCTTCTCCAGGTTTCGCACGTTCTCGGGATGGGATTTAGGGTTTAGGGCTTAGGGCTTAGGGTTTAGGGTGTAGGGCTCTAACAGTTCTCAGGGCCTCAGGGTGTTGAGGGCTTAGAGTCTTAGAGGGTCTTGAGGGTGTCTGGGGCTTCCAGGGCGTTTGGGCTTCTCAAGTTTTTGTTGGATTAAAGGTTTTAAGGGTTGAGGGTTTTAAGGGGTTTTTGGGGGTGTTGTTGTTAGGGTTTTTGCTGAATGTTTGGGGTTGCGGGCTTTGATATTTAGTATTTAGGGCTTCAGGGGCTTTGGGTTTTTAGGTTTAGGGTTTTGAGACTTTGAGGGGTTTCAGGGTCTTGTTTCGGGTTTTAGCGTTCAGTGTTAGGACGTTAGGGTGCCGGGGAATAAACGGTCTTAGGGTTGATGAGTGAGAGCTTGTCGGCCCCCGATCGGAGCTTATGTGCTTAGAACATCAGGGCCCACTCCCTAAACCCTTAAACCCTAAACCCTGAACCCTAAACCCTAAACCCCCTAGTAAGCCTTCAGGCCCACAAAGAAGGTTACTCTAACTGGCAGACCTGAAGGGCTTAGGGCTTGGAGCTTCGGGAGCGTAAATTCCGCAAACCCTATAAACCCCATATGAACGCTATATAAACTCTAAATTAAACCCTGTCAAACCCTATTAATCACTATTGAACCCTAAACCCTATTAAACCCCACACCTTCTAAACCGCATCGGGGGGCACCCCTAAACCCTAAACCCTAAACCCTAAACCCTAAACCCTAAACCCTAAACCCTAAACCCTAAACCCCGTCGCAGCCCAGGCGTCGTCGCGCAGCATGTTCACCTGGTCAAAGACCGGGTCGTTGCGCAGCGACCGGAGCTCCTCCGGGCTCGGGCTTTGAGGGGTTTTCGGATTTGGGGGGTATTTGGGTGTCAAAAGGGGTTTAGGGTTTAGGATTTAGGGTTAGGGTTTGGGGTTAGGGGTTAGGGTTTAGGATTTAGGTCTTAGGGTGTATATAGGGTTTAGGCAACGGTTTAGGGTTTTTTGGGGTGTGTTTATTGGGTAACCCTCAAAGCCCCATCTCCCAAACAGGCTTCTGGTATCAGCAGATTCCTGGAGCAAAGGCTTAGGCTTCCCTGGCCAGCCGCTGTTTCAACAGGGGCTCAGGGATTGAAGGTGTTGTAGGGTTTAGGGTGTAGGGCGTAGGGTGTAGGGTACAGGGTTTAGGGCTCAAGGTGTGGTTAGGGTCTAAGAAGCACCATCACATGAACTGTACTCGAATTTTCAGCCTAAGCAGGTTTAACCGGAGAGAAGAACTGCGAAGTTACTCGAGCCCCAAAGCACCCAGCCATAGATCCCCAAACCCACCCTGCCTGGGCCGTGCAGTCTAAAACCCTAAGCCCTAAACCCTCAACCCTGGACCCCACGCCCTAGAAACCGAAGCCCCCAACCCTAAACACTAAACCCTAAACCCTACACCCCAAACCCTAAACCCTAAACCCTAAACCCTAAACCCTAAGCCCTAAGCCCTAAGCCCTAAGCCCTAAACCCTAAACCCGAAACCCTAAGCCCAGAACCATATACCCCAAGTCCTACAAAACCCTAACCCAAATGCCCGCAGACCTGCCTGGTCCGCGTTGGCAAGCTTCTTCTCGGCGGTCGCCCGTGCCTGTGCCACTCCGAAACCACCAAACCCAAAACATCCCTCAACCCTACAGGGTTCAGGGTTTTGGGGTTTAGGGCTTGGGGCTTCGGGCTTTGGGGGGGGGGGGGGATAACACTATGCAGAGCACTGCCAAACTTTGAGAACCAAATCTGGCCGCCAGGCTCGGGTTTAGGGTTTAGGGTTTAGGGTTTAGGGTTTAGGGTTTAGGGTTTAGGGTTTAGGGTTTAGGGTTTAGGGTTTTGGGTTTAGTGTTTAGGGTTTAGGGTAAACCTTCACTCCATTCCGCACACACCCTGTAGTTAGTACCTTCTCCGCGGACTTCGAGCCGGCTTCCGCCTGCTCCAGCTTGATCCTGAGCACAAGTGGGGTAGGTTTGGGGGCTCCTATAAAAAACTAATTGTTGTGGTTTCTTTAGGATTCCATACGGGACTAAGGGTAATAAAACAAAAGGAAAATTCTTGTAACGTTTATAAGGATTCTATAGAGGCCTAAGGGTAATTAAACATTGACATTGAAAAGTATGTTCAAACCTACCCCTGACAAGTGCAGGCGCCCAGCTTCGATGCTTAGACCCAAGTGTTTAACAGGTTCGGGGCTTGAGGGTTTATAGGGTTTGTAGGGCTTATAGGTTTACTGGGTTCACAGGGTTTATAGGGTTTATAGGGGAAATAGGGTAACCTTAAACACCCTAAGCCCGAAACCCAAAACTCAAAAGAAACGGCGCGCGCCCGGGGTCCTCATCTGCGACGCCTGCGTCTCTGCATCCTTCAGCGCCTGTGATGCGATCCCCCGCCTCTCTTCCCTCAACCGCAAGGCCATGCAAAACTGCCCGGTTGGGGTTTTGGGGTGGTCCTGGGGTCCTGTGGTCTTGGGGTCTTGGGGAGAGTTGTTCGAGTTTAGGGTTTAGGGTTTAAGGGTTTTAGGGTTTATGGAGGTCCAGGCGGGTGGTGGGTAGGATCGAGGGTGGGATTGAAGAAGTGTAGAGTGTGTTAGCGTTGTGTGGGGGGTTTGAGGGTAGGTCGGAGAATCGTCCCTTGCCGGGGTTATCCTAAACCCCAAACCGTGAATCCTAGACCCTACTTCTAAGTCTATAGTTTAAATTTAAATTTTGAACCCTACTCCGCACTGTGATAGGAACGCCTCCCGCCCCCCCAACAAAAATATGTAACAAGAAGAAGAAGAAGAAGCAGAAGAAGAAGAAGAAGAATACATCTATATATATATATATATGGCATATATATATATATTTTTTTTTTAAAGAAGATCCCATGCGTTCGGCGCCAAGGAGCAGCTTTCGCCTTCTTCAGCTCCTGCAGACAAATGCAGGGTCGTCCAGAAGCTCTCGGATTCTCAGGTGGTGCAAGGATGTGGGGCTTAAGGTTTGGGGTCTCGTGTTTAGGTCTAGGGCTGGGCTTTGGCCCAGGTATCTTCAGGTTAGGGTTTAAGGTTTAGGGCTTAGGGTTTGGGTTTCTTGGGGCTGGTGCCTCAGGTCCCCAAGGTCAACCGCGCGCCGGGGGTTGGGGTGTGCCTAGGCGCCATGGTGCCGGGTGCATGGGGCTGTTGCCTGAACGCATTCGTGGGCGAAGGGCTCTGGATTCAGGGCGGCCTTGGCTTAGGGCGCTCTTCAGCCCAAACTTCCTAAAAACCTGGCTTCTGGTCAACACTAAGCCTAGAACCCTACAGCCGTACACCCTGAACCTTTCAGTCCCATACTGAACCCTAGACTCTAATCCCTCAGCCCTTGTCCCCATGCCCTCTAAACTCTAGCTCATCAAGTGCACGTTGGGCTTTGGCTAATGGGGCTTAGGGCAACGCCGGGAGCCTTAGATTGGTTATGAAGCGCAGCTGGAGCTCAGGGTTTAGTAAACCTAAACCCTAAACCCTAAACCCTAAACCCTAAACCCTAAACCCTAAACCCTGTTTAAGGTTTAGGGTTTTGGGGTTTACTTGCTCAGTTCTGGCGCCTCACCCATCTCCTTCATGGCCGCCAGGTGCTCCTCGAAATCAAATCTGGATTGCGGGCTCAGGGTTCAGGGTGTAGGGTTTAGGGTTTAGGGTTTAGGGTTTAGGGTTTAGGGTGTAGGGTTTAGGGTTTGGGGTAACTTCACAGGTGCTCGGCTTCCTGCGTTTCGGATTGAATAGGGCTAGGCCATGTTTGGGGAACCAAGGGAACCCAAATCCTAGACAGGCCAGATATATCGCGCCACCGCGACACATCTCCCCTTTCAGCCCAACCCTGCATCCTCGTGGAGCACTTTCGATCCACCATCCTGGGCCTTCTTGGTTGATGCTGTTTTTTTCGTCTCATGAGGAAAGGCATACTGTCAGAACGCTCGACCCGACAGACTCTACACCCCAAACCCCAAACCCCAAACCCCAAACCCTAAACCCTAAACCCTAAACCCTGCAAGATCCTCCAAGCCTTCGCGCCTGCGGTTTGAGGCCTCACCATGCGGGAATCCCCAAGCAAAGGGGGTACTCTGACTTGGAGCATCCTGGAGTCGTGGAGCCCTAAACCCTAAACCCTAAACCCTAAACCCTAAACCCTAAACCCTAAACCCTAAACCTTAGCCTTAGATTCTTTCAAAGTGGGGAGAAGAGGAGAGGCCAGGCCTGGGGGTTCCCGATCCGAGGTTCGGGGTTTGGGGTTTGGGGTGTAGGGTTTTAGGGTTTAGGGTTTGGGGTTTAAGGTTTAGGGTGAGATCCTCCCTGAAGTCCATCTTCGGTTTCGCCAAGCCTTGAAGGGAGCTCCGAAGTGTGCCCCCCCTCCCAACTCATCTTTCGTGCTCACTTCGAAAAAGGCGCGCTGTCCGCCCTACAGCTTCCAGCGATCAGATGGCATTTCCTGATGTTTAGGGTTTAGGGTTTAGGGTTTAGGGTTTAGGGTTTAGGATTTAGGGTTTAGGGTTTAGGGTTTAGGGTTTAGGGTTTAGGGTTTAGGGTTTAGGGTTTAGGGTTTAGGGTTTAGGGTTTAGGGTTTAGGGTCAAGCCTTGTCGATCTTTACCCAACCTGGCTTTTCAAAGAACAGCATGGGCCGATAGTCAGACTGGGCTGCCAAGCCGAAATCTGCCGTTGTCACGTCCCAAGACCTGACGCTGGGAGTGCTGTTCAACTTGAGCCACTTGTGCGGCTGCGCGGCCCAATACGTGACACGGAAAGCAATCTTGCACATCTCACCGGTTCTTTCGAAGCACACCTTCACGGATTCCATTCTGCTACGCGAGTCGATTCTGTATGTTTGAGGTTCGACATCAGACTGCCTAGACCTATACAGCAGCTCCAGCAACTCGGCCCCAACACACACAAAGAGGCCGGCATCCGCGATGGTCGGCGCAGTAGTGATACGCTGAACTTGAGCAGGACCATCCGGTCTGCTCTCCCAATTGCAATCTAAAGTTTCTAAAGCCGCATCAATGGGGGCAACCCCGATCAACAAAGACCTGCATCCGCTATAGGCCTTGCCATTTTTGAATGAACACGTGACTTGAAAGTGGTCCGGATCTGGCACATCCAGTGTTGCAGCAGAGTGCTCCTTCCCTTGCAGCAAGGTTCCATTGTCCTCAATGGCCATATTATGCGAGGTGCAGACATGAATGCCTCGCAGAATTCTCTCCAACCCAGGCAGCATGAAAAAGTCCGCTTGGCGAAGGAGCTCATCTCGTAGTGCTGCAGATACGTTCTTGATCGTAAAGCCTTTACCCCCGCACCTGAGGTACTCCAGCACGTGTGGGAAGGCCTTGCTGCTCGCATCAACGAAAATACTCCCGTCCGACTCCACCTTGTGCGCAACGCGACCAGAAGCCAAGAGACCGAACCAGGACTCCGGAAAGATCTTGAGAGTTTCGGCAGAAGTCGAAAACTTTTGTGAGCCCACCTTCAGAGTAACTTTGCCCTGCAGCTCCTTCCCTCCTTCGGAGGCGATGTCCCCACTTCCCGAAGGCTGGGCCGCTCTCACGCCTCTCGCCTCACCCGCCAGCTTCTTTACCAGGCCCTCAGCTGTCTGAAGTCGCTCCTTGAGCTGTGAAATCTCCTGCGCTCTTGCCCGCAAAAGAAGGCTGATAAGCAGATGAATTACCTGTCTCCACCAATGGGTGGTCTAGAGGGGCTTACAGGGTTTCGGGGGCTTACCGGCTCCAAGTGTAGTCCCGGTTTAGGGTTTATAGGGTTTAGGGTTCAGGGTTTAGGGTTTAGGGTTTAGGGTCTGAACATCCTGCAACACGCGTCCTTGCCCTGCTCGGAGACCTGGCCCCTGAGATCCTCGAGCTCCTTCTGCACCTCGACGCCCGTGGAGGCCGAGGAACGGCTTAGAAGCGCCTCGGCCACCAACTGCTGGACCCGTGCCTCCAAGAAGCCATCCAGCCTCGTTGAGGGTTTAGGGTTTAGGGTTTAGGGTTTAGGGTTTAGGGTTTAGGGTTTAGGGTTTAGGGTTTAGGGTTTAGGGTTTAGGGTTTAGGGTTTAGGGCCTGCTGGCTATGTCGATGCAAGCTCAAAGATCTCTTTAACTAAGACACGACCAGAGCCTTAAGCCAGCGAATCTACTCGTGATCTACTGCATAGTCAATACTATAGTGATTTGGTGACACATATACAGAGCAAACGCGTTTCAGGAAGCAGTCCTAAATTCCTAAATGACGTAAAAAACACACAGTCAATCCAGGCCATGTGGCGTCACCGGCACTGGATCGGAGCTCTCCAGCCGCGGTCTTTTTGCATCTCCGCCCATGGCAGTGTCTGAAATCTGCTAGGTCGGAAGGATCTTAGAAGGATGATGCTGAACTTCAGGCTGTATATGTCTGCACCCACCGCCCCCCCCCCCCCTTCTTTCCCCTAACCCTAAACCCTAAACCCCAAACCCTAAACCCCAAACCCTAAACCCCAAACCCTCCCTACACCCAGGCTGAGATTGGACCTCGTCCCAAGGCACCAGACTATGGTGTCCGGAGCCATGGCAAACGACATAGGACATGGGAGTTTAGGGTTTAGGGCTTAGGGCGAGTGGAACTAGCATTGGAGAATTTAGGGTTAGGGTTTCGGGCTTAGGGTTTAGGGGTAGCTGTTCGCGTCCTTGTTTCCCTTCTCCTCCTGTTTCTTCTTCTTCTGATCCTGGCTCGAAGCGGTCAGGATGAGCTGTAAACAAGGCTCCATAAGCCTTATAAACCCGACGTGTCCTACACCCCTAAGCCCCTAAAGCCCCCAGCCCCTAAACCCGTAAAACCCCTGAACCCCCAAACCCCCTAAACCACCTAAACCCCCTAACCCCCTCAACCCAAACCCAAAAGCGTAAGACCCTTCTCTGTTAAGGGTCCTGGACATGTCTGAGTGACTTCCATCTTGCAGCGAGTAGTTTAGGGTTGACTGCAAAAAGGTATCCAGCACCACCTTTCTTTGAATATCAACCCTGAATCCTAGACTTTATAGACCCCATAAACGCTAAAACCCTAAAAAGACCCCAAAGATCACGAAAATAACCCCTCAACGCCCCTAGAAGACCCCTAAAAACCTTCCCGACCTCTCCGTCAAAAAAAAACCGCCCAACCCAAGAAATGTCGGCCGAGCCCTAAACCCTAAACCCTAAACCCTATACCCTAAACCCTAAACCCTAAACCCTATACCGCCTAAACCCCAAACCCTAAACCCTAAACCCTAAACCCTAACCCCTAAACCCTAAATACCCTAAACCCCAAAAAACTGCAGGACACTTCGGCCGAGCCTTCATGCGCTCCTCGGCCGCCTTCCGCGCCGCGTCGGCCTCCTCCTTCTTCCGCTGCTTCTCGAGGAGCCTCGACGCGAGATGCTGAGGATTTTGGGGGGTTTAGGGTTTAGGGTTTAGGGTTTAGGGTTTAGGGTGTAGGGTTTCGGGTTTAGGGTTTAGGGTTTCGGGTTTAGGGTTTTGGGGTTTTTTGTGGGGGGCTCTTGGGTGTTGGGTCTTGAGTCTTGGAGTGTCGGATCTTTGGGGTCGAGCCCACGGAGACTCCCAAAGGATCCCCCAAGCGTCCCAAAAGCAGCCCCCGAGGCCCCGAACAAAGAAAAAGATCTCAAATTCCTCGCAACAAGCCCCTCAACAGACCCGCACCCTAAACCCTAAACCCTAAACCCTAAACCCTAAACCCTGAACCCTAAACCCTGAACCCTAAACCCTAAACCCTAAACCCTAAACCCTAAACCCTAAACCCTAAACAAAAGCCGCAGCCCTCCCCAAGCTTTCCCCCAAAGCTTTCGCCCACAACTTATCGCACAACACCCGCTCGCTGCTCTGGACCCAACGGGCCCTGCGAGGGACGGTGCCTCTGGGCGCGATGTCCGGCGTCTTCCGAGCCCTGGCCGAGTTTTTGAGGGCTTAGGTTCCGGGGTTTGTTCTTTTGGGGCTGGTTTAGGGTCTCTTAAGGAGCTTGAAGGCTTTCAGGAGAACAGGTGAAGTGTCTGTTCAAAGGACTCTGCCTTGGACCCCTAAGGTGGTACCCTTAATTTCAAGATCCCTAAGGTAGTAAAAGGGCCATATCAGGAGAAAATTCAGGGACACCTTTAGGGGTACAACCTTAGGGGAACGAGTCTTAGTCGCTAGATCTATGGCTTCACGGGCTTTTGCTTGATTCTAGGGCGTTAGGATTGAGGGTTTGCGGACAAGACGTCACCAGACTAAACGCCAAAACGCGTTTTTGGGCCGTTTAGGGTTTAGGGTTTAGGGTTTAGGGTTTAGGGTTTTAGGGTTTAGGGTTTAGGGTTTTAGGGTTTAGGGTTTAGGGTTTAGGGTTTAGGGTTTAGGGTTTAGGGTTTAGGGTTTAGGGTTTCTACCCTCCGGAGTCAAAACCAGCAACCATCCACTAACCACCGGAGGTCCCTAACTTCACATGTCCGCACGGAAGGCCCGCGGCGAAATCCAAAGCGCCGAATCGATGGCTGAGGTTTAAGGCTTAGAATGGTATAGGGTTTAGGGTTTGGGGTTTAGGGGTTTAGGGGTTTAGGGGTTCAGGGGTTTAGGGGTTTAGGGGTTTAGGGGTTTAGGGGTTTAGGGGTTCAGGGGTTTAGGGGTTTAGGGGTTTAGGGGTTTAGGGGTTTAGGGGTTTAGGGGTTTAGGGTTTAGGGTTTAGGGTTTAGGGCTTGAGTTCAGGGCTTTCTTCCGTCAGGGGCCCTGAAATTTACCCCCCGAGCCCCAAACCCAGTGGCTGCGTGTAAGTGCCATGGTCGCAACACTCTTTTTCGGGTCTAAACCCGAAATCCTAAACCGGGGTCCATACTTAAGGGAACTTAACCTCCCAAAAAGGGAATAAGCGTACTAATGGCATCCTAGACTCCATAAGGGTACCACTGTTCGCTAGCATGGAATGAAGGAACTGCCAAGACAAGTACCATGCTACCACGTTCTGCATTCCCTGCTGGCCAACACTAGCCCCAAAACCCTAAAGCCCTAAATACTCTAAAGGCCTAAAACCCAAAAGCCCTAAAACCCGAAAACCCGGAAACCCTACAACCCCAAACCCCAAGACCACGACACCCTACAACCCTTACACCCCCAAACGAAAAAAACACCTTCAAACAAAATCCTAAAAACCGTGAAAACCCCACAAACCCTAAAACAACCCTTAAAAAACCAAAAAAAAACCCGAAAAAAAACACCCTATAAGAACCCCGATAAACAACCCCATAAACCCTAAACACCCTAAAGTCCCTCTAAGAGCCCTATACCAGCCCCCGAAAACCCCCCAAAAACCGCAAACAAGCCCAGCCCTGGCAGGTTCTACACTCCCCTTAGAACCTCCAAAAAAAAGAACTAATATCCTCTTGGGGTTTATATAAACTATATAAACAAAAACAATAATATTTAAATGTCCTCTTGGGTTTTATATAGACAACAATGGAAAAATAATTCCCGAGGGGGATATAGGGTTCCCTTGGTGCGCCAGGACAGGCCTCACCGACCTCGCTGGGTTCGGGAGAGCCGCCGCCACCTCATTGTCTAAAGACTGCCCCTGAACCCCAAGCCCTAAACCCTAAACCCTAAACCCGAAACCCTAAACCCTAAACCCTAAACCCTAAACCCTACCGAATTCCGAAACCCTAAGCCCGAAACCCTGACAGAACAGCATCCGGCAAGGTGGGGGCAAAATCCGTCTTCCCATGTCTGGCGGGTTTCAGAGGGGGTTTAGGGTTTAGGGCTAGGGTTTCGGAGTTGGGTGTGTAGGGGAAAGTTAGGGCTAGCGGGCTTCGGGCTTCGGGCTCCGGAGGCTTGGTGGCTCCGGGGTCTGCGCCCAAGGACAGCTGCCCCGACGTGATCGAGCGCCTTCTGAGTGCGCGAGGAGCTTCTCTAAATTGAGGTTCCCTTTTGTTGGGGCTCCCTACATAAAGTAGGCTTACTTTTTTTGGGTTCCCTACATAAGTTAGGGTCCCTTTTTGGGTTCCATACATATAAGACAGGGGACCACCAAAAGGGACCATTAAGTTAGAGAACTACACACGCACATACATCCCTGTACAAAGTTCATGGCCCGGCTTCTTCTGTTTCCCTGCCTCCTCAACCCTAAACCCCACGTCTCAAGCTCGGTTAACACATTCATACAGCACGGCCTAAAGGACTTTGCATGTGATTGATTGGGGTCCTCGGATGTACATGGGCAGCGTTTGTGCAACCAAGGTTCTTAGGGTTAAGGCATACAGGGAAGCCAAAATGAACAAATCTCAAACAGCTGATGACCTGTGAAGTTGCAGGACTTAAGGGGCGGGCGGGGGCTACAGTGGAGGCCTAAACCCAAAAACTCCTCGAAGAATCCACATGTGGCAGTGAGAAACAAAAGACCACCGAAAAACTCGACATCAATACTCCCTAAACCCTAAACCCTAAACCCTAAACCCTAAACCCTAAACCCTGAACCCTTATCCCCACGCCTCGGCGACTGAGCCCCAGCAGCTCCGCCGACCAGGCTCCCCCGGCCCTCCTCTGGCTGTCGTTGCTAGGAGGCTTAAAACCCCCAAACCCAAACCCTATACTCTAAGAATCTGCAAAAAGACCCTAAACCCTAAACCCTAAACCCTAAACCCTAAACCCTAAACCCTAAACCCTAAACCCTAAAGGCGTGGGATTTAGGGGTTTTACGGGCGCCTCATAAGGATGCTGGGAAGGAGGCTAGGCGCTTCGCTAGCATTCAAGCAGCTACTCGCTTCTTCATCGTCCGCACGTGACGATTCTTCCACGGTAGGCTCACCCACATCATCTTACTGGCTCAATTCTTCTTGGTATGCCTACCCGCTTCCGCACGAGTAGGGAGTGGCTACCCTAAACCCTAATCCTAAACCCTAAGCCCTAAACCCTAAGCCCTAAACCCGAAATCCTAGGGTGGTCCGATTTTTTGCACCGTAGTTAGAAAGGAGCAGTCCAGTCGAACTGGTGCCCAAGGACGAGCCCGCCGTGATGGGGAGCTATAGGGGGCTTGGTGGGGTTCGGTGTCTGGGACGGGAGCCCAGAATCTGGAGCTGAAGATGTGAACAGTTCCTCGGAGAGCCTAAACCCCAAAACCCTAAACCCCTGAACCCGAAACCCTAACACCCCTGAACCCCAAACCCTAAACCCCATCTATCCATGCCCCGGTCCGGCAGTGGTCCCACGGTGTCTTTTGACCGGGCAGTGGTTGGACGCACCTGCACTTGGGAGAGGTAAAGTTTGGGGTTTAGGGTTTAAAGTTTATAGGGTTTGGGGGTCTAGGATTTAGGGTTTGGGTTTTAGGAATTGGGGTTTAGGGTGGTAAGGTTGCGAGGTTTAGGGCGGATCTAGGGCTTCTACGACTTGGGGGTGCACTTAGGGCTTTGCATCTCTCCGAGGCCAAATTCTAGTCGACGAAAGGGATGTTGACATCCAAGCAGTCTCCAACCCCTAAACCCTAAACCCTAAACCCTAAACCCCAAACCCTAAACCCTGACCTTCATTCATGCCATTGGGAAGGAACCCAAAGAGTCCACTGTTGCGGCCAACTCCTACTTTCGAGGGGTTGAGGGGTGGGTTTAGGATCGATAAGGCTTAGGGGTGGGTTTAGGTCTTATAAGGTTTTAAGGGGGCGGGGGGGGGGGGGCTTAGGGCTTAAGTATACGTTTTCGGCTTGGTGTTGTGGTATTGCGGCGTGGTGTTTCGGATTTGAGGTTTATGGGCTGAGCGTGACTATTGGATGTAAGGCTCCCACGCACACCCACACACACATCTACTTCCATCGGGATCGTTCTAGACATTTGAAGCTGCCAGCTGCTATGCCAAGCGCGGGCAGAGGCCTTTTACATGGAACTGAGGGCTTATGGATTCGAAGGCCCAGTACGCCATTTAGAGTAGAGGGTATTTAGGGTTTTTACGTCTTGGGGTACTTAGAGTATTCAGGGTGTTTAAGTATTTAGGCCCGAAGTCCTTACTTCCGAGGGTCGATTGTAGCCCTTTAACACAGGGGGCCATTAGTTTAGGTTTTAGGGTGCAGGGCCGTGTTCCACCACCCGTCCTGGTCAGTAGCTCAGGGCACCAGGGGGCGGCTCCCTGAAACCTCAAACCCTGATGATTGCCACCTCCACTGTCTCGGATCCGAGCTTGAAGGTCATGGGGTCCTGTGTCGGGTTTAGGGTTTAGGGCCGAGGGTTTAGGGTTTAGGACTCAATAAACAGCTGCTTCTCTTGCTAGCTGGGGTGGCTCCCCTGGATATGTAACCGCAAGACCCCAAAACCCCTGACCTTTCACCCTTGCTGCCGCAAAAGACGGCTTGTAGGGCTTATGAGGTTTATAGGGCTTGTAGGGTTTATAGGGTTTCTAGGGTTTGCAGGGCTTCTAGGGTTTCTGGGGGCTTGCAGGGTTTATAGGGCTTTTTAGGGTCTTGCAGTTTCAGGTGGCCGTTCGCAAGCTTGGGCCCAACTAAACCTCACAAAGCCCGAAAAAACAACCTGGAGCCTACATGGCCCGAAGTCCCTGCTGAAGCCTGTAAACTCTTTAAAATAACGACATAATAACATAACAGGACATGAATATACTGTACGAAAATACGACTATGTAAATCTACCAAGTATGATCATACCATTCGCCACAGGGCTCATCCATGGCGTTCCATGCCCTGAGGAGGTTTCTCATTCGTGGGCATGCGAAGAGGCGGACTTCCGCAAAGACATGGGGGTTTACGAACATCATAGGGGACCTCCATTCTAGATCCCCCCCAGAAAAGTAGGGATCCCCTTATAACAAGGGCCCCCCTAAGAAGGTACCCCCCATATCTCGGAAACACCCAAATGCTCTAGTGGCGCCCTTCTCCTCTCAGCAGACTGCCCGCATCAGCTTTTTTGGGTAGAGTGGAGGAGCTTTGAAGCACATGGAGGTTCGCTGCTGGACGCTGCCTGAACCCTAAGCCGTATACACCCACATGCCTACCCCCCCCCCCCAAAAAAAAAAAATGGTTTAAAAAACAATCACAAAACTCGAAACCCCAAACCCCTAAATGCGTACCCTACACCCTAAACCCTACACCCTACACCCTAAACTCTAAACAAACCGAAACGGTTTAGAGTTTAGGGTTTAGGGTTTAGGGCGTTTAGGGTTTAAGGCCCTGTAAAACACCGCAGAATATTTCTTCGGAAGCGAGATCCTCGAAAAACATCAGGGGTACGTCAACACATCCCAAGGGGCTGACCACACCCTAAGCCCTAAGCCCAAAAAACCTGAACCCTAGAATCTTAAACCCCCGAACCCTGAACCCCAAACCCCTGAACCCTAAACCCTAAACCCTAAACCCCGAACCCCGAAAGCCCAAAGGGTCCTGAAGCGAGGACTTGAGCCGATTTTCGGCCTTCGTGGCGCGCGCTTCCGCGCGCCTGCACGTCGCTTGGACTGGGGTCGAAGCTGTGAGGTTTAGGGTTTAGGGTTTAGGGGTTAGGGGTTAGGGTTTAGGGCTTAGGGTTTAGGGTTTGGGGTTAGGGGTTTATGGTTTAGGGCTTAGGGTTTGGGGTAAGGTCTAGAAGGTTTAGAAGGTTTAGAAGGCCTAGAAGGTTTCGCAGGTTTAGGGCTTAGGGTTTATAAAGGTATGGAGCCCATTCCGGGAGGTTCGGGCTTTAGGGTTTTGCGCTATAGGACCCGAGCCCGCCAACCCACCAATCCCACTCCCAAACCACTTCGCCGCAACCGCAACCCAGATGCTCAACAGACACACAAGCCCAAACGCCCACCCCAAAACCCTAAACCCAAAACCACCCTAAACCGACAAACAGCCCATCCTGTTCTGCGTACCCAAGAACCCTTGAAAGCCGGAAAGAAGCCCCTGCAGAAACCTAAACCCGAAGTTCCTAAACCGATGCAACCGGTGGAGTTCCTGGCACCCAGAACCCGAAACTCCAGGGGTTTTGGGGATGAGGGTGCAGGGTGCAGGTTCTGAGGGTTTAGGGCTTCCAAACCCTACACCCTAAACCCTAAACCCTAAACCCTAAACCCTAAACCCTAAACCCTAAACCTTAAACCCTAAACCCTAAACCCTAACCCATCACTCAAGGCCCTGGGCCCAAGCCTCCCCTTTTCCTCCGCCTCCACCGATCTTTGCTCCAGGAGCTGTGCCTGCGCAGAATAGGGGCCTTGAGAATTGGAAGAGGGGTTTTGGGGTGCCATTCTAGCATAACTACAAAGGGACCAAAGGGGAATACCATTAGTAACTCTTTCGACCCCTCTTTTCGAATAGGGTGTTGGGGCTTGGGGTCCGGCGTTTCGGGTTGCGAGTGAGACATTTCATCGTTCTTATTCTAGGGGACGTCGGGAGCACCTGCCTTTGCCTGCTATAGCTGCACTCAGAAGGGTAGCTAGAAATTAAACTTTTAGCTGCCATGTTAAGAAACTCAATAAACCCAAAAAGGCTAAGGATCTAAAGTTGCAGCAAAGCACCACAAAGTAGCGGTCCGGGCAGCTGTCAGATCCCAGGGTCCTCAGGCCTCCAATGTGTGCGGATGCGGCCTTCAAGTGCCACAGCTCTGCCTCGTACACATGGGAGGTTGTCAAAACTATGATCCCTTTTGGGGTACCCAAAATAATAGGTGCCGTATGAAAATAGGAAAGAGGGACCATAACTTTGACAACCACCCGCATCGTAGAGGTCCGTGAGGTGCTCCTGCTTGCTGTGTGCACCTCAGCTGCCATGGCGAGAGATGTTTTTTTTCCACTCTGGCGCCACGCTTGGGGAGTCGCCTTCTGCCGCCCCATGGCGGAAACCGGTTTGGGGCAGCTTTCTCTGTCGCAATGTCGCAAGAGAGGGCCCCCCTTTCTGCCAGACCTTCCATCCTAAGCCCAGGCGGGGTTTCGGGGTTCATAAGGGCTCACGGGTTTAAGGGGGGTCTTCAGGACCAGTATGCAGTCGGAAGCCAGCATCGGCATCTCGCTTCCAGGATCCCACTTGTCCAGCCCTGCAATCCCCAGCCAGGGAGCTTATAGGGTGTCGTGCTGGGAGGGTTTCCACTTGAGGGTTTCAGGCTTTGCGGGTTTTGGCCTTGAAGGCTTCGGGCTTTATAGGGTTGTCGGCGACCCCACCCTTACCCGAGACCTAAACGCAAGTCCCAAACGTTAAGCAAAAGCCTTCGCCCTCAGCCCCCATCCTTAACAGCCTCAACCCCATAATTAGCCCGCATCGCCTAAACCCTCCAACCCGGATCAAACATAAGCTCTAAACCCTATACGCCCTAAACCCTCGACCCAACTCACGCCCCAAACCCTTCAACCTGACCCAACATCCCAGGGAGTAGGCGAAGAGGTTTGAGCTTGGGGTACGCTGGGCACCCCAAACCTATAAGCCCTAAACCCCATGAAGCGCCTCGGAACGGAGCCGTGAGATCTCGGAGCGGGCGGCAGCTGTTCGCGACCGCGCCTTGCAGCGGCGCAGCTTGAGCTAAGGCAACACGCGGAGGGGGAGGGGGGAGGGGGGGGGTTGAGGGTCGAGGGTTGAGGGTTGCTTGAGCTGGGCCAGCTTTGCCAACTTTAAGCTCTTAGGGCGTTTTGGATTGAGGATCTGAAGGGCTTTCGTGTTCCTTGGCATACTCGCAGCTCCTGGCTTGAAGGTGCAAGGCTCTGAGGCTTAGGGTTTCTGAACCCTTTCAGCCCTTGAAGCTAACCTATAAGC